TCGGGTTGAGGTAGTAGTTTTGTACGGCTCCGCGTTAAGATACCGAGGTGTCGTTGTGATCACAAAACGTGAATGATTTATCACGATCTATTTGTGGTTTTGCATTGGCCAATCACTGTATTTATACGACATGTATAAACATCAATCTCTCTTCATTAAAGTTACGGAAATAACATATGCATCTTCTCTTTTATATAAAAATTTAGTAATTTTATTAAATTTATTGCGCTTTGTCTCACGCGTGTTCTCTAATTATAATTTTTCTTTGTAGTATTGCATGTTATAGTAGTTTTCCTTAAGAGCCAGAAATTATATGTATGGAAAAGAAAGTGTACTTATCGTTTTATACTTTTCGTATACATCTCTCAAATCATTCTGTGGTCAAATGTAGTCCAGTGGCCTTCCTATACAGAAAAAGAAGATAATGAAATGTGCGTTTTATCCTTTTCCAATTTTTTGCCGAAAATGTTCGAATATGTGTTTTACCTTTAAATCGTTCAGTCGTGCCTCCAGTAGATACTACGTGAGCAAAAATAGACAAGGATACGAGACAAGATTATCAAGGATACGAGAACGCGTAACATTAAGCAGATTAGCTCTATCTTGAGCCACGGGATGAATGAGTTACGTATGATTATACAGCGATTGCATTATCTTCTATTTCTACTGCCAGCAGTTATCATAAGCGTGCGTACGGCGAGTGGAGTACACACCGCGATTGCGGGCTTTCTATCGCCTTTTAAGAGTCGCATAGTAGCCTAATCTGCAAGAGCAGTCGCAATCGTCGGTGCAGCTTCAGCGGCAGACACTGCGACGACACATTACTCCGATGGTGAATATAGCGGCGTAAGCAGTTTCAAATGCCACGATTCGTCTTTGATTCATTGCGAATAGAGTCATCAAAAGAGAAACAAGAAAATTCTTTTTTAAATAAAGCTAACGTAATAATCTCATCAACAAAAGTGATATTATACAGACTGCTTGGCGCAACTTTAATATATTTTGGAGTTTTAATTTCTTGAAAAATTATTACTCTTTTATCTAATTAATACGTTGAATCGTTTAATATGTTGATCGCTCTGCGATGATACATAGGTTTCGCTTTATCAGTTTTTATACGTGTCAGTTTGAAATAAACGAGCAGGCGACTCAATCACCGTGAATCATTTTTTTTTTGCTTGCGCATATGAATGTCAATCGCAGATTATAAATTACAGCTTTACGAACGGTATGCCGAGAATATGTCACCCTCGTGGGCGCGATGTACGCGAGAACACCTGGCCTTCTTCTTATCGGAAATAGGCAGAACGTGTACCTATACCTAGCGCAACGCCGTACCTGATCCAACGACTCCCTCACCTCACTTTATCTCGCTTCACCGCGCCTCGCCTCATCTGCCTACAATGCGCTCTCTGTTATTCCAGTGTCTTGTATAAATTTCTTTATTTCTATTTCTCTCGAGTCTTCGCCTCGTTCCTCCTGTCCTCCCTTTCTCCCTTGATTTTAAAATAAATCGAATATCTACGTTACGTATTTCTATTATCATAATTTTTTTAAATCTTATCTAAATAAGCTGCTTGTTTAAATTTATGGTATTATAAATTATTACGGTGAAATATTTCGTCAAATAGAAAGAGAAATGGAGGAGGAGATTAAAAAGAAAAAAAGGGAGCACGAGAGATAGAGATAAAGAGGCTATTCAATCTCTGAAAATCTCGTCATAAACCGCATCGATGTATATACGCACCACGTTCGTATTGCGGATAACAGAGACTGTTTTTGTGGGGGTCTGTAAGATAAGAGCAACCTCTGGCCTCGATGTACAAAACCTCTTCCGCTCGTCCAGTGACTCTGAAACTCGCTCTTGCGGCTACCGTTCAGGAAAGTGGTACCATCAATTCTCGCGTATATCTCGAGGGATAATAAACGCTTAGCTCTCGTGCTATAATCATTTTAAGGGCTTCATATTACGCGCACCTTGCGTATCACTGCAATAGACAATTCAAAGAAATACAGATTTGCTAACGACAAACGTACAAGTATGATATAAGTATATGATAGAGCACTAGTTAAATAAAGACAGACGGATCTTATGAAATGTTAATCTAGGGGATGATTCGTGGAATGTCGCTTTTTTATAATATCTCAAAAAATTAAAAACTTATAGAAAAACATATATACAAGAAGAGAAAGATGAAATATATTGATTATAAAACTTTATAGGTAGGAAATATTCGTTTGACATAAAGAAATGATATTTGATTATCATTTCAAGTTCCAAGCTGATTTCGTGAAATTGATAAATCTATTATATCATTTCAATATTTTGTAATATCTTAATAAAATTTGTATTATTTCTTCAATTTCTTAAATATTTAGTAAAAAGTATCTTTGATCGGTCAGATATAAGACTGTCGCTCACAGATGGAAGACGAGGTCTTTGCGGAAATTTACGCGTCACCCAGACACGAGTGGACATGGCACTCAAAGTGTTAATATAATATCAACTACCATAAAATTAAATTGATCATGCGTATTTCTTTGCCGTCCATGTCGACTATTTGTTTTACTATTGCCGCAATGAAGAAGGTCCTCCTCGTTGCAAACGCACATGTCCGTTGCGTATATTTTCTTCATTGAATGATTAATCGGGGTCGCAACTCTGCATCTCCTCGTTGTAGATAATACGTAGGGGGCGGCTAATTCCTTTCCGTTGATTTTTAAAGCCTTTAAATTAAACTTACAAAGTTAAACTTACGTTAACGTAGTTATTTTACGTTTCATTATTATTTTTCGAATTTTGCATTTTTTTCATAGAATTTACTAAAGCGTAAAAATATATTTAATTATTATGAATTAATGTGTGTGTGTATGTGTGTGTGAAAAAGATTGGCGAATAAAATAATATTTGGGATTATTTCTCAAAGGGATAATTTAGTTATTCTAATATCGTTCGATATCATCGATGAAGAAAGAATCTGTTTTTAAAAACCATATTTAAAAAGTTTAATGTTTAAATTGAAATGTGAGAAAATCTATTAAATACATTTCTTACAATCGCACGTTATTTTTTTCATGTCCAGAGAGTAATCTTTGACAGGCGGTATTATCGGTAACGCGCCAGACTACCCCGCGCGTATAAACGTACATTTTATTTACATTATTTCAGAGGTTGGTCAAAGCGAAACTGTACTTGGACCTTTTGTGCAAAATATGTTTTTTAATAGAATTCGTCGAGCGGCAGCAGCAGATAATCCAATGAGCCTGACCTTTCCAATTCGATTAGGTAATGTCAATAAGGTCGGTCCAATGTTAAACGGTCGATATACCGTCATCAGGGGTGATACTACTTACGGTAGCCTGAATGAAGTCGCTATTGAATCCGTGCATTCCTCAAGCAAAAGATCTTTTATCATATAGATTTGTATAAAGATAGTAGAGTAGTACAAAAGTATACATCAATACGGAAATTAATTAATGTACATATGGACAAAAATTGTTCTTTTGCATAATATGAAAACTGTGTCGAAAAGAACGAGTAAAGATGATAGTGGAGAACGAATATTTACGATTACTTTCGATACCGCAATTTAACATTTATTTTTAATTATAATTATGTTTGGGAGGGATTTAAATAAAGTCGTGGGATCTTTCCATATTGCGCCAAATACTTACTGATTCATACGACAATTTAATTTGAGCAGTTTTCAATGGGAAATGTTTCTCTCTTTCTCTCTCGACTTCTCAACATAAAACTAATTATTAGTCATAGTGTATGATGATGTCTGAACTTTGTCGGATGAGCTAAGTCACGAGCTAGGATCAGATCAGTTTTAGTTCGGGGCGCACGTGACATTCTTGAGGTTTTCCCTCGTGTGCCGCACGTTCGTGCGACAGATTACTCAGCGGCCGCATGGACAATCGAGTTATGCATCAAATCGTCACGATCGACCCATATTACATCGTTCGAGGTCAGACAATGGTCTATTAAGAGAGCGAGAGCGTACGTGCGGTATGCCGCGTGCACTTCGCATCAATTATTTGAAATATACGAAGAATTGCCGAGAATCGACATGTTATAACATTTCAATAAATAAATAAAATTGAAGACTAGGATCGCTACGTATGTGCTCGTTGGTCCTAACGTGATACGCGTGAACCCCTCGATGATTAAAAATAATATTTTTATCGTCCCAAGAGAACAGCTCGTAAAATCATTCTTTTCTCGTTTCTTTACTCTTATTAGCCTCGTTTCTCTCTCTTTCTCTCTCTCCTCCTCTATCACTTTCTCACTTCTTTGTACATGCACGCAGTGTCCATCGATACGTGAGTGCGTGAGTGCGTGAATGCGTGTGCCACCACTAACGACGCGTAGATAAGAGCACGTAGTTATTTTTGTAACATACCGGCTAGCAACAGTTACTCGGTGTCATCACGCACTGTGTCCTACGCGTCTGTCGAATCTCGATCGATTTCAACATATTCTTGCGGTTTTTATTGCGCGGTTATTATGCGACCGCGGTTACTCGGTTGGAAAGTAGAACGGGCACGCAACTGAAATTCATTCATTTCAGTTAGGCTAAAGACTTTCGGTTTTACATACAACACAAATTCATAATTCATATTTTACCAATTCACACACACAAAAGAGGTGTAAGCAATCTCCTCGTGATGCACCTTGAGTATTCAAAATCGACAGTATTGAACAATGAAGTACGGAACATTATACGTAAAAGTGCTTAATTTCCGAAAAATAGATTCGAAACACCGAAAATGAATAAATGGGGAAAAGCACACGTGTGACAGCCATGCGCAATTGCGCATGTACTAGTACGATAGGCACGCTACTACTACGGTATTCATTGTTGAGAGTTTCGATGATGTTTACCTCTACTTGTTCTCTTTAAAAGTACAGGTGCATGGCTAGGATTTTTCATACTTCAATACATTGGTAATTTATCGAATGAGACATGAAATAGGTAATTGATTTGATCGTACAGTCTTGATCGGATATGTCGGGGCGACGGAATCAGCGTCGCAGTCCACCAGGGAAGCGATCGTCAAGCAGGAGGAAGAGGGGAAAGCAGTGGCGACGACGACGATAAAGAGCGAGGACGTCATCGGGCACGAAGTCGGCCAGCAGGAGCAGGAGCAGCAGCAGGAGCAGCAGCAGCAGCAGCAACAGCAGCAGCAACAGCAGCAACACTTGGCATTTGTGGCGACCGGGGAGACTGAAGAGGAGGATAGCGGTGTGGGCGTGCTGGAGGCGGGACAGGCGGAAATGGAAAATGGCGCCATGGTTGAGCCAACCGGTGCCGAAGCAGTCGCTATTGCGGTCGCCGCCGTCGCCGCTGCTGCCGATGATCGTACCGACGAAGTTGATCCCAGCACCACTTATACCCTTCACGAGCTCGACTATCATCCCACACATATAATCCACGAGAGGTGAGTCGGAACAAATATCCCGATCAAATATCAAAACGAATATTCTGTATAAAACACTATGATAGAACGATGTAATTTAATCGCGGCATGTTACCCCTTTTATAATTGCGGAACAAAACTATCTCGCTACAGTTTGCGTGGAGTTTCACTTTTTTCTTCTTCTTTTTGTGTTTCTCAATTATTCTGGAAAATCTTATTCTGGAGTGATTATTATACACGTACGATTTCAACAATATTGAAAATATTGTTGACAATAATACAATAAATATTACCGCTCAAATATATCGACGGATAAAAACTTACTGATCGAAAGCACATGTTAGTTGATAAAAGTGTTTTCTATTTTCATTTAACCCTTAAAGTTTTGGGGGCGGTGATATGAGGGAGGAGCAGCAGCAGCAACAGGTTTCACACCCGCCCCACCAGTCGCACCACCAACAGCAGCAGCATGACGCACACCATCATCGTCAACAGCAGCAGCAGCGGCAGCAGCAGCAGCAGCAGCAACCTCCGCCGCCGCCACCACCGCCGCCGCCGCCGAGGCAACTCCATCACCAACAGGCGCAACAGTATGTTCAACTTGGGGCGAGAGAGGTCCCGGTTCCCGAGGGAGGGGATAACCGGCACCCGACGGAGGCCTCCATCGCGCCGGAAGGGCGCCGCTCTGGCAGTCACATGCCTCACTCCACGATGCATCGTTACGGAACCGAGACGCTCTCACCAACGACGACGGACCACCATCACCATCAACAACAGCAACATCACCATCACTTATCCGAGATACATCAACATACCACTCTAGCTCCCGCTCATCGTCATTTGGAGGATCCGCAGCAACATCACCAGGAAAACGACGAGGATGTGGATCGAGGGGTGAGCAGCATCGCCGTGGCCATGAGGGGTGCACGGAACGATTATTTAGGCGTACTCTTTTCGAATCTCAATGCGTCGAGCACTACGTCCAGCAATGGTGGCAGCAATCATCATCACCATCATACGTCGCACCACCTGGAGGACGTATTGTCCGAGGAGTCTTATTTGCAACATCAGATCCGCGCTGGCGGAGCCCCTCCGACTAGCGGCGGTTCTCCATCGGTGAGGACCGTCGGCGGTTCCCCGACCTCTAGTCATAGTCCGCACGACGATCAGGATCTCTCGTCGCCACATCGACAGGCCCAGGAGAGTTATAGTCCCACTGAACAGGGCAGATTGCAGTCTTTTACGCATCTTACGGCTATGCAACCACCACCGTCGGTGCAGACCAATCACGGATTGCAGGAAGCCGAGCGCGTGTCCGATCAGCTGTACATTGACTCGCTCTACACGCATCATGCCGCCAGTACCCCCCATCATCATCATCAGGACCAACACGACCAAGGCCCCTCCGCGCCGCATTCGCCCAGCGGCCCACTCTCCAGGTTAGTGGCGATCGTTATCGTTATCGTTACGTGATGCAACGGATCCGCGAATGTGCCAGGTGTGAACGGAAATTAAACCTTTGAAAACTTTTGCTCCATTTTTCTCACTGGCAAAATGATATTTTTTCGTTTCTTCGTCTTTGAAAAAAACGCCGTCTCTCAAGGATGAAATTATTTTAGCGCCGAAAAAATAGAATAACCGGTGAATAAACTACGTGTCGACCGCGAAATATTTTCGACGTCTTTTAAAGCGGTGTATGGATGTGCTATTGGCGCTTTTATTATCAGACCATTTGTGAAAAATTAATAGCGATGTAACATTATAAATTGCATTATTACGCGTAGCATCGTTCGTTGACATCGTTACAACGCGTTTTTATCCGAGCCCTGCGGTTATCTCGTATAGAAAATCGTTTTACTCCAGTTCCTCATTTACCGGGAATTTATTCAGTTGCCGTCTCGGAAATATGGAGACAGTACGAAATATGCACGTCACTTTTAATGTCACTTGAAATCGCGATTTCTTCTAACTAGAGAATAGGTCGTTTGATAGGACGATTAAGGAATTCAACTAGCTAGTTTACAACGAAGTGTGTTACAACGATATACAATTTTTATCTTGAAAAATAATTTTTATCGAAAGTGCGGTACGATCAAACGCGCTATCCTACGAGACGTATATATATGTATATACTTGGATTATTGCATCCATGTAAACGTACAGTCCTTTCCTGCGCGCAAAAATATTTACTCGCGAGCTTTAAAAGCTATTCCGCTTCACGCAGGTCTGTATGCGTAGGCGATACTTAATATACAGCCCGAAACAAAGCGCAACCGTCGGAAGACTGCCCGGGCCCTATGCTAACAACCGTATGAAAGCGAAGATTGTCCCCACCCTCACTGCCATGTTTGTTGATTTATCTCGGGCACGAGCCTTTGAATTTAGGTACTCGAGATCCTAAGGTGGTCACGATCTTTTTCTGTCACGATCCTCTCGATATTATAATATTTGTTTCTTCAATCTTTGATCGCCGATTAGTAGTTTCACAACTTTAACAGAGTGTTTCAATTCTTTCCTCTATATATCTCCTGTTGCGTTCGTTGAGATGGAGATCTTTTTTAAGATGTTACTTATAATACAATTCCAATGCTACAATCGCATTGCGCGTTAGCTGCTTTTTCAATTTTACCGTGATTCATATTTAAAAATGTTTTGTTCTCTCAAAGGAATACAAATTTTTTAATGACGATCATTAATACACAAGGGTTAAACTGTGAGAGACTGGTCTTATAGTTGTTGAATAACAAGAAATACCGAGATTAATGATCGAATTGAACAACGAATAAGAGATAATTTTACTCGGATTTCGCGCAACTTTCGCTCTTCGCGCTTTTTTCTTCATGTCCGATGCTGGCGATAAGGGTTCATTCACCGATCGAAATGATCCACAGATCGCATTGTTTGCTACCCTCCGATTCTGGGAAGGGAATGAGACAGATTGCTCGCATCGCGAGACTCGCGTCAAAGGCGTCATGCGTCATATCCATGGTTCTATGTTGATTCATTTGATCGGCGCGCACAATAACTGTTGGATTTATCTTTATTACGTGACAATAAATGGGTAAAGGAAGAATCGCACCTCTGGCAAATGTATACGGATTTACTTTGGTTCGATAAAAATTCACAGAAAGAAAAAAAAATTACCTTTGAAAAGGATATTAATAATTAACGGTAATAAATATGATTAATAAACTTTTCTCAACACGTCAGCTACAATTTTACCCGTGATTTTATCCATCGATATAGCCGGTCTTATCTGATGCGTCGGATCTGCATCCGATAAGATTTTATTGACCATTGAATGCGATTGACTGATAGATTCCCATTGACTGTTACCTCGCAATTCCACGAAAAGAGAGCAATCGGATGATCGCGTTCACTTTCATCGTGGCAGATGTAATCGAGAAGAAATGTAGAGAAAGAGAGGGGGAGGAAAGGAGAAAAGGAGAGGGAGGAGGAAAAAGAAAGATGAAGTATTCGTATTTCTCAACTCACGCTCTGTGCACGTGCAGAGACCATGACCTCTCAAATTTGATAGCAAAAGTTCGAGTGCAGATTGCAATCCGTTTTTCGTTATTTCTTTTTGCTGTTTGCTACTTTTTTGGCCGATTTGAGAGATTGCGCCAATGCAAAGAAATTGTTCGTCCTCTTATGCAATGGTTACGTAAATTTATTTCTATCTTGAATTCTGCAAAGAAAAATTATTTTTTATTAACAGGTTATAAAAAAAGAGCTGATTTTACTCATCACTATCAGATAACAGTAATCTTCGTTGTCATAATTGTCTATCATTTTCTTATGTGCCTTATATGCCAGTACTAGCAGCAATCTTATAATTTGAAACGAAACAGGATTACACTATAACACGAATTAATTGATATTATATTGAAATAAATCAATATTACATGATAAATCACATAATAAAATGACGGTTGATGATGAGAAAAAAAATTAAAAATTTCCTTTTCTTTTTGGAAGCTAGTTAGAAGAATATTTTATGCCTGCAGTTTGAGTAATGAAAAATCTGCGAATATAACATTGTAGGTTTACTCTGAATTTATCCTGCAGACTGTGCAAAAGAATCAGTTTTCAAAATCTATGTAAACAGCTATAACGAATTAAGTTACAAATACGAAGAAGAAAACTCGAGAGTTAATAAATCGCGATTGTTAACAGTGACGCAAAGTTTGTGAATCATTTGAGAAAGTTTACAATTCGTAACACATACACACATCCACACTGCCTTCTACGAAATATTATACGTAGAACGAAACCCTTTGCACCAGGACAAACTCGTATCATCTAACTTTTCAATTTTCTTGTTATGAATTCTCGGTGTATTGTTTAGTTGTTATGTTCTACTAACACCATTTGTACATTTCTTCTAAATTTTTGTGATATTAAACCTTTTTATTTTTTTTTCAAACACTTGACACTTATAATGAAACTAGAAATTTCAATGAGTGTTAAATATATATATATATATATATATATATATATATATAGTGCTAAAACTCCAAGGTATCAGGAGGCGCGTGCGATACACGTGCAATACGCAGCTGTCTCTACACCTACAGACGATTTCAACATTTGTTTTACTTCACGAGTAGCAGTCTTTCGATATGCCGGCGGAAGTGGCACGTGGTAGATTTTACTTTACACAGAGCATTCCGACAAGCATCGATTTGTCATTCAACATAATTACTCTCATCTGATCAACGTTTATTCCCAGATTAAGATTCTAAATATCCGACTGTGAATTGTCGGAATATAATTAAATTATTCCAATATGCAAATCAACATTATACGAAGATAATTCGGAGTTTAATATTTCAAAAGTCAAATCTATTTGAATTTACAAATTTGTAAATTTTGAGAGAGAGAGAGAGAGAGAGAGAGAGAGAGAGAGAGAGAGAGAGAGAGAGAGAGAGAGAGAGACTATTGGACAAAAAAAAGACGTTGCATCACTTCGTCTATGTCGTGGTGTCGTCAAGACAGGACGAAAGCAAGCCACGAGGCGTAATCGGCGAAGAACGTCAAACAGTGGGGCGTCTTGAGTGGCCGATAACAATGGTGGGGATCACTCGTGACAGACTCTGTCAGAAAAGGCAAAGTTGGGGTACACTGCGAAATGTGATCGCCGCGTCGGTGATATCTCGGTAGGAGGGGAAAACACGTAGAAAATAACAAGTGGGGATAATTGTCCGTCACTACAGGAGGGTCTCTTCGAGTGGGGAAGGGATTGCAGAAGGGGAAATCCTGACCACCTTCGAGGTCCTCCACAACTCCATTCGGCTCGACGTTTCATGCACTCTGTTAGATTATATTCCGCTCAGTTCTTGTCTGCCCGGTGACAGATACGGGACGCTCTCTGGCTCTTTTCTTTTTTTCCGGCACCGCATTTTTTACTTTGCCCTCTCTGCTCTGTACGACAAAACGAAGACAAACCTCAGCGAAGGAAGAGGAGAGAAGTTATCGAAACGCATCAGCCTGTTACGCCTGCTAAGATGCAGTGAGTCTTTTTCTAATGAAAGATTTATCTTATGAACCGGGTACTTCGTTATTTATCGATACGTCTAATGCTCGATATTATATCTTCTCTAATGGTGCTTCGTATATGCTGCTTTATTTTGACTCTGTGACATGTAATTAACTAAATTTTGATAAAAATCATATGCATGTCACGCAAGTCTTAGATATTTGAAGATTATATAGAAATTATATGAAGAACTGATAATAATAATGTACTACGAATTATATTATCTTATATAATCAATTATAACAATTATTTATATATATATATATATATATCTGTATTTACGCAATCCTAACGGATCTATACGGAAATCAATACAAAGTTTTGGAATTCTTTCACTGAATAGATAGTGACGAAACTAAATTTCAAATTAACTCTGACGGGATTAAATGGGAATTATTGTTCTATTAGATCGGGTAATTATGTATAATTATTTATTTATTACCATGTCATCAACAACATATATTTGTCGTATTTGTTTAATATTTGATATTCTTAATATTATGATTTATAAGATAATATTATATGTAGACATATTTGGAACGAAGATATTAATTCAAAAAGAAATGTGAGATCATCTATCAAATTATTATTTTAGCCATTTCAATTATTTTCAATTACGTAGTTATTCTCTTTTTTTCTTTCTCTCTTATCGTATTGCAACGTGTTATGTATTTTGTCTAATCGCAAATGAATTAATACGCACGTAATCAGTTTACCGTTTAACCTATATATTATTCTTTTTAGGTGTCAATCAATTAAATATTGTATACTTTCTTAAAAAAACGAGGTTTAATCTCGCTTTAAAAAAAAGTAAGTAGCGTTAATTAATGCAACGTGACAGCAAAATAATTGCAATATAAACAAAATATTTTAAAATGTATAAAACTCTTTTATCTTAAC